TCAATTCTGAGACAGTAAAATATGACCGCGAGTCCCAAGGGACTCGGACCCGAGAAAGACTGCGCTGGCAAGAGCCAGCAGCATATACAAAAGATAGACACGTCCTCTCGTCAGAGAAGGCGCCCCACAGAAAGAAGACCGTAACAGTCAAACGATAATAATTAATATCTGGTCATGAGCCCCAAATGGGGCTCGACACCAAGACTTAATGACTGACTGACCGTCAGTCGCAATGTAACTCTGACTCTGACTCTGAACCAAGGCAGTGAGCGACAGAGTTGTGGGTTCTGAGTTCTATGCAGGAGACAGTCACGAAAAGTTCGCCGACTTGTGAGAATTTAACGTGTGATTTGAAGACTTTATTTATGTGTAATATTTGGAGCGTGTGATTCAGTGAGACTACTATAGTTTCTGTATTGAGATCCGTTGCTAAGAGACGAATAGTGGAAAGAGAATCCTAGTGCGTGTGAAACAGTGAACTGGAAAGTGTGTAAATCAGCGATAGCGCTGTATTGCCTTATTTAAGTGTTATTAAGAGAGATTGTAGCCAAGTGCTAATAAATCAAATCATCCGAACTAGAACCAGTCATTCTCGTCGCTCGTACCACCCTACACATGACATTATTTACCGTCTTTTATTTTGTGAAACATTCGTAGAGACGGAAAGGGAGATCTAGGGTAGATGAGGCAGAACACACATTCTGAACCTCGATACTAAATCGAGTGGTTAGCGTCAGGTGCCGGAGGTTTACGTGTTCCCATTGGCTTATATCCTTGATGAACGCCAGAGCCAGTCTGAGCGTTGTGGCGAGGAGAAAAGACCCTGTCAATACTGGCAGTCGAAACCCTAGTCCTCCAGCCTATATTCATTTTCTCTCCTGAGTGTCCCGGTTCGTGTTGCATGTTATTGTAAAGGACGTCTTTGGAAGGGAACTATCTTATAATTTTAAGATAAATAGGCCTGTTGTTTAGTCTGGGTCTCATTGAAATTAGCTGTTACATAGTTGCACGCCCTGTCTTACGAACCCAAGTTGGGAGCTAGTGTAGGGTAATAGTGCCTACGTTATCTATCTGTCTATCTATCTATCTAAGACTCTACAGCCCTACACGAACATAGAATAAACGCAGATAAACATCCACGCTTTGGTTGGATTCGAACCCACGATTCCAGCTTTCGAGTGGGCGAAGACAGTTCATGCGCGCGACCATTGTGATAGGCATTTCCTACGTTACGCTGTGGAAATGATCCTTCGTTACCTGTTTTACAGGGCGGAGAGTGTCCACAACAGACAATGATTAGGGATGATGAGCAAATATGTCTTACTTTTTTCTTAAGGTTTTAGAAATTTACTGAATCGAGAATTTGGCAGGAAATGTTGCCTCGAAGCGTGGCAGGCTAATGGCTGAAGACTGCTGCACTCAAGCAATAATACTTTTTCCATCATACAAAACGAGGAGTTGCATGGGCGACTTAATAGAATAAACATGGGCGCGGTTCTTCACGCTTCCCTCGATGTGAGAACCAATTTCAAGGAACAAGGATGAACACTTTCATTTTGTAAAGAACACAGTTCAGTTTCCACGCAATGAAAAGGATGTTCCAAATGGAAATGAATGAATAAATGAGTCACTGATGGAAATGGAAAAGAGGAAGTGTTTCCCAATCATATTTTGATAAAAAAAATCTTTGCTGTTTTGCTTTTGTTTTGTTATCAGCAGTCACGATAAGGAATTAGAAGAAACGGTCGCCGTGAATATATCTGCCTGTTAATTTATAATTTTTTAATATTTATTTGTGAGTTTTATGTATTTTAATTTCGCGGAATGATTCCCGTTTTCACTCAAAATTTATTTTCAAACTGAATCTATTGTACAAACAACTTTTCACTATGTAATAAGAAAGAAGAGAACTTATCAAATGAAATAATGAACATATATTCCAGCTTTGACCGACTGAGTATGTTAAACATAGAGCACAGT